GGGGACTTAGAGCCGCGGCGCCGCCGCCCTCGGCTCGGTGGCGGGTAGACCTGTTCCCGCCGGGGACCCTTGGAGCCGGGGCGCCGCGGCTCGGCCCGGCGTCGGGTAGACCTGTATCCCGCGCGGACCCCGGGAACCGGGGCGCCGCGGCTCCGCCCGGCGGCGAGTGGACCCGGTCTCCGAGTCCCGTGGGTAGAGCTCCTGTCCAGGTCCGGCAGCTAGAGCCGCTCCGAGGGCTCGGCGAGGGCCCTCGGCCGGCGCCGAAGCGCTGCCATTTCCGGCCGGTGCTCCGAACGTGGCACCGAATTCACAGAGCGAGCAGACGGCGTGCGACCGCTCGATCCGTCGGTCGGCGCGGCGGCGTGCCCTTCCGGCCGTGCCCCGACCTGCCCGATTTCCCAGAGTTCTTAGCGAGTCCGTCCAGCGGGCATGCTCCGTTGAGTACTCTCTCGGGGGGCTTGTTGCGGGGACTCCATCTCCCGTGGCCCTTTGCGGCAGACTTCCTCTCCGGCGTTAAGGCTTTCCCCAGCCCCGAGGCTGAAAGAAGAGACGTTCTCTGCGGGCGCGGGGAAGCGGGGGGAGTAACTCGGACTCTCTTTAGGCGGCACGGCACGGCTGCGACCGAGCGGGCTCGGCCGCCTCGGCGCCGCCGGGAAGAGCCGGTGTCCGAGAGTAGCGGCTAGAGCCGGTCTCGGGGCTTAGCGCTGCGGTTTCGGCCCGGCGCTCCGAGCCTAGCAGCCTTTCCCCTGCCCCGAGGGTGAAAGAAGAGACGTTCTCTGCGGGGCGGGGAAACGGGGGGAGTAACTGGGTGGCGCTCTGCCTGGGTGGCACGGCTGCCGCCGCCTCGGCTCGGCCGCAGAGGCGCGCAGCGGGGAGAGTTGTCGTCCGTGCCCGGCGGGTAGAGCCCTCGTCCGAAGCCGGCGGGTAGAGCCGGTGTCCCAGGGCAGCGGGTAGACCTGTCGTCCGGGCTCGTCGGCTCGACCCGCTCTCCGAGTCGGGCGGCTAGAGCGGGTTCCGAGCGCTTAGCCGAGGCCCTCGGCGGGTGCCGAGGCGCCACCGTTTCTGCCCGGGGCTCCGAGTGGGAAAGAAAGGGCGTTGTCCGCAGCGCGGGTCAAGAGGGGGAGTAGCTGGGACTCTCTTAAGGTGGCAGGGCGGCGGCCGACCGGGCTCGTCGGCGGGGGTGCCGGCGGGTAGAGCTGACGCCCGAGCTTAGCGGCCGCAGCTGGTCTCAGGGCTCGGCCAGGGCCCTCGGCGGGCGCCGAGAAGGCGGGATTTCTGCCCAGCGCTCTGAGTGGGAGGGAAAGAAAGGGCGTTGTCCGCGGCGCGGGTCAAGAGGGGGAGTAGCTGGGACTCTCTTAAGGTGGCAGGGCGGCGGCCGACCGGGCTCGGCGGCGGGGGTGCCGGTGGGTACGACCGGTCTCCGAGCCCGGCGGGTAGACCTGGTCGCCGAGCCCGGCGGGTAGACCTGGTCTCCGAGCCCGGCGGGTAGACCTGGTCTCCGAGCCCGGCGGGTAGACCTGGTGGCCGAGCCCGGCGGGTAGACCTGTTCTCCGAGCCCGGCGGGTAGACCTGGTGGCCGAGCCCGGCGGGTAGACCTGGTCGCCGAGCCCGGCGGGTAGACCTGGTGGCCGAGCCCGGCGGGTAGACCTGGTGGCCGAGCCCGGCGGGTAGACCTGGTCTCCGAGCCCGGCGGGTAGACCTGGTCTCCGAGCCCGGCGGGTAGACCTGTTCTCCGAGCCCGGCGGGTAGACCTGGTGGCCGAGCCCGGCGGGTAGACCTGGTGGCCGAGCCCGGCGGGTAGACCTGTTGTCCGAGCCCGGCGGGTAGACCTGTTCTCCGAGCCCGGCGGGTAGACCTGTTCTCCGAGCCCGGCGGGTAGACCTGGTGGCCGAGCCCGGCGGGTAGACCTGTTCTCCGAGCCCGGCGGGTAGACCTGTTCTCCACGATCGGCGGGTAGACCTGGTGGCCGAGCCCGGCGGGTAGACCTGTTGTCCCAGCCCGGCGGGTAGACCTGGTGTCCCAGCCCGGCGGGTAGACCTGGTGTCCCAGCCCGGCGGGTAGACCTGGTGTCCCGGTTTTTCGGGTCGACCCCTTTCCCCACTCGGGCGCGGCCGGCCTCGTGCCCCGCCGGGTGCTGGCGAGCATCAGGTCTACCCGGTTCCGGGGCTTGCGAGCATCAGGTCTACCCGGTTCCGGGGCCGGCCGCCGCGGCCGCCGCGGCCGCCGCCGGCGGCCTGCGTCCCTGCGGCGTCCCGGCGCAGGGCCACCAGGTCTACCCGGCTCCGGCGGGACTTAGGCGCCTGTCGGCATTTTCGGGGTAGACCTGTTGTCGCGGCCGGCCCCGGAAGTCGGCCAAGGGGTCGCTGTCGGGCGCCGCCTCCGGTTAGGTCTAGGCCAGAGGCGGCCTGCTCTCGCGCGCCTCCCCGCTGAGGAGCCTCGAGCCGCTTTGAAGGCGCGACGGGGCCAGGACGCGTCTGTCCGTATTATGGGCAGGGGTTGT